AGCTTAAGGGATTTATTCACCACATGTACATTCGTATATAAATACATGTATGTATTTTTATTCGGTTGCCACTCGGCAAACAATAAATGTCAGTCGCATGCCTGGTGACTGGTGATAGTAACACATTTTGCAAGGAGAGATACATTTGTATCTGGCAGATACGACACCAAATACAGGACAAACCCGTCCATCATCTGAATGGTATTTTCCAAATAAACCATTTACAAGAGATATCGCTGTATACGGTTTTTAGGTCATTTTTCCGAATGTTATGAAAGAGCACGAATCTCCTCATCTGCGGTCACGTTGTCATCTCTAGTTCGGATGGTGGCTTCATTATTTGTTTGTTTACTATGTTGCACTTGGCACGTACGGGAAATAAAGCAAAGGAAAATTGCATAAATGCCCAGGCAAAGTGTCCATTGTTCTGGGCCCTATCATCCAACGTTCCTCCTGCCCCTGACCACATCATATGTGATTTATGACCGCTCTTTGCTTGGCTGAAATTATATTTGAACGAACTTTTAGTCAACAGCTTATCAATAATAATAAAAACCAGAAAAAGCCAGATGTGACACTCGAAATTCATTTCACTTGTGAGTAGAATATTGAATTCTTAAAGTTCGGAACAACAACATTTTATGAATCCAAAACAAAAAGATGCTGATAAAGTTACGTAAAACAGTAGCCACTATCTTAGGCTGAAACTGAGATATAGATACGGGTGTTTGATGTTTAAGTATCTTTATCTTAATTCCCAGCTGTATCTTGTTTCTGTATCGCAGAACTGTTGCTCTTCAGAGCACTTTTTATATATATTTTTATTTCTTTCGTTTCCGGTGCTTCTTTGTGAGAGAAAAAGTTTTCTATGATAGCTGTTGCATATTTATATTTATAATTTTGTATTTTGCATCTATATATGTTGGGTGGGCAGACAGATAATGCCGAGACATTGACCTTTTTTCGCTGAGACTAAGCACAATTTTTCGTTTCTTGCCTTCTCTATTCAGCTTGATTCTCGGTTCTTGTGTCTGCTCTCCTTCTTTGTTGTCAGATTAGCCGGCCAAGTGGATAAACCAGTTTTCGTTTCTGCCACTCTGCCATCTTCGCCGTCCGATTCTTGGCCCTCTCTGTGTGCCCATGTTCATGTTGCTTGACTTTGGCTAATTAGCCAAGTGTGGATGTTGTTGTTGCTGTGGCTGGGAGCCCTGCCCCGCCTCGAATTTCGTAATGTTGAACTTAGGAAAATCTTGCCAAGCAAACAAATTAGTTGAAGTAGCAAAAAAAGTCCCAGGGCTTAATGCTGCTTTTAAATATTCACTTTTATAACATTTTGTACAATTTTAACTTTTTAAATTATTTGGAAAAAACTCTGGCATTGTTTAAGTCTAATTTTCTTATAGTTTATGACTAATTTTCTTTCTTACCATATTATTCATCTGTTTAACATACAAATTTTTTATATTTTACAACCAATATATAATTTTTTAAAACTTTGTTAGTCTTTTTTGTTGAACCTATTTGACTGTCTAACAATAAAAATGGATGAGTCCCCAGAGTCTTGCTCATGTCTTCATGACTCAACTTCTGCTTTCTGCCTCGTTCGCTTTTTCTGACTCTCAGCTCCACAATGGATTTGCTTTGTTAAAATAAATAAGTAGAATCTGAATCAGATACATACATGTAAATGAGTAGCTAACTTACATATGTGAAAATGGTATTCACAGGTAGATATTCATCTACAATGTTATTAGAGTCGGGTAAATTAAAAACCTTGAAACCTGAAAGTGAGAATACAAGTGAGAGGTAAAAACACTAACGTCGTGTTTCGCTGTTTCGAAAACAATCACATTGGATCATTAGAAAAATACTCTGTCGATTCATTTGAAGTGACAAAAGAGAAATTAAATTAATTATCACGAGCAACCCTATTTGCCTAATAACAAAATACACTCAAAGGGTGAAGAAAGAAAAGACGCAATTAACAAAATTGTCTACTAAAATTATAAGAGGTCCTCCGACACGCCACCCTTAAAACAATAACCTCCCAGAAATCCTCTCGTCAATTATCCTGGCAAAGTACGTAATTATTTTTGTTGCTTGAAGGGTTCTGGGTGAAAATGTTAACTTTGTTTCCGCCTGATTGAGCATTTATTTCAATGTTATTGTCTATGGGTCATTTTCACCACCCAGGGTTGTATTACATTTTAAGCTCTGATTGTTGTGGTTTCTTTTGTTTCTTGTAAGTCAAGTGCACAATAAAGCAAAGACTTTTTGATAAAAGAATCAAAAAGAAACTGAATTTATTTTAGCTTACACAAATGGCTATTCAAGTTGAAGCTCAAGGTTGGATTACTCAATAAAATAAACTATTCTTTCAATTAGAAAAATATTGTTCCGAGATTATATAGATTCGAATAAACGATTAAGGATTTCTCCCACTATATTTCTACATAAATAAGTTTAATTTTTGTATGTTATTATTTGTCAGTTTAACAAACAATATAATTTGTTTGGTAATAGCAAAATAAAGAAATAGTGGAAATTTTTGTTTGCTAATCGTCAAATTATAGTTAAACTGTTTTGAAACTTACCATTTACGATGATGATGAAAATGATCGATACGAATACAATCTTGAAAGCACATTTTGATGACATTATATGCGATGGGGATCCAACGTAGATGGTGTCGACTAAACAGAATTAGCACAAATTTCTGTTTGCTTAGTTTGTTGGGAGGTCGTTGTTTTGTTTTAATAATTTCCTTTTGGCAGTAGTTGGTTGCGTTTCGAGCACCTACCTCAAGCTACACTCTGCGGCTTTTTAATCAGAGCTTTGCACTTTCCATGCCATTTACAAATTTAGCACTTTTTGCATGGGCCATAAAACTTCGCAGCACTTTTTCGCACGCACGAATTATTTTCGCTATTTTTTTCTCACTTTTTTCGAGCTCTTGTCACGTACACTTTTTCTTTTATTTTTATTTTTTCCAATATTTTCTCGTTAAAAAATTAAAATTGAAATTAAAAAACGAACTTTTTTGGTGGTTTTCTGTGTTTATTCACTGGATTGTATATTTCTAAAGAAAAAGGGGCAAATTCACATTAATTTATTTTGTATTAATTTTTTCCATTAACAAATAATAGTTCAATATAAAGATTTATTTTGTAATATTATTTTCTCTTTAACAAATCGAAATTAATAACGTTACTTTTTTGTAATATGGATAGTAATTTAACAGAAATTCGTTACTGTTTTCTTTAAAGCGGATTTTTCTCTTAGTCATGACCGTTTTTATATTATTCTATACTAAATTTGTTTTTCTTAAAAAACCAAAACAAAAATAAAAGCAAAAGACACACAAAATACAAACAAATTGAAAATCACAACACAGCAAAGCCAAGAACAGCTATTGGCCTCTTGCTCGCACTCGTGTACATTCAATGAGCAGGCGCAGAGAGGAGACCGAGAGAGCTAGTGCGAAGGCAACAACAGAGAGCGAGAAAGAGAAACAGACAGCTGCAGCGCAAACGCAACGAAATGCATTAAATTAATTATTGTTGCTTTTGAAATTGTTGTTGCGACAACACAAACATGAGGCAGACTTAAACACACGCAATATGTTTAAAATAAACAAACAAAACACTGTTTGGATGTGTTTGAATTCAAATTTTTAACAGTGAACGGTTTTGTTAACTAATTTAACAATGTTTTTAGCATGTTTACTTTTTTTGTGTTTCTTTTTCTCTCTTTTATGGTGTATCTCTCTCACTTCTTTGTGTGTTATGTTCTCTGATTGCCTCTCCCGCTCTCTCTCTTCCGCTTTGTGTTGTCCGTAAATTAAATGCGTTGAAATGCAGCCATTTTGTCTCCGCAATTGGCACTCACTTAAACTCCTGTCGATTTTTCTGTTTAGCCACAATTCTCAATGGGCCAAAAATGGGGGCAACTTATTTGATTAACGCACATTTCTTAAGCTTGGCGATTTATTTATTTATATTTCGCTCACCCGCTCGCACACCCACATACACGCACGCACACAAACGCAGCGAACACGCGTCCAGCGATTTTCCGACTCCCACGGCGTTCCGAGATCCGTTACAAAGATGCGCGTCCAAGTCGCTAGATGGGTTTTTTTCGACTGCCGTGGGGGTGGCAAACCTTCGATGCCAACATCGACGCCATCGATGTTTTCAAAACATCGCAGATATCGATGTTTCGCGGCGCATAATCGATGTTCTTCCATCTCTTCCACTGTTATCAGACTCTGTTAATTTTCACTATTGTTTGCTCGCACTCTTTTAGTTTAAGCTCTAGTTTAAACCCCTTAAAAAATTATTTTGGCCTATGGCACTGTTAAAAATGTGTGATTTGACTTATCGATAAATGAATAAGAAGTACGTCCACTGTACTATTAATAATTTCATTATATGAATAAAAATCACATTTTCCTTATTTTTTACCAACATATAAGTTTCCTGTCCACTGGTAGGTAAACTAAATAGAAATCGAAAGTAATTATCATACAAGTAAAAAAGAGAGAATTGAATTTTAAGAATGTTGTTAGATTTCGAAACAATACCTATTTTCCAGAAAGAATTTCAAAAAAAGCGCCTTGGTGAAAGTTATGTAGCATCCCTGGTTCAACTTATCGATAACAATCATTTGCCTGGTGGCAGCCTTGGCGTTTTTATGCAGCAATGCCAGTCTTTTAATTTCTTTTGGCGCGTTGTAGTATTTTGAACTGTTTAGTGATGAAACTTTATCTTTAGATTATATCTTTAAATCATAAATTGGTACATGAATATATCCTCTAGCAGTTCCAATGTTGAATTGCAGAGTACATATACACTCAGTCAGCTGTTCCTTTTTTGAATATCGCGCGCTCTCCTCAAAGCTTGATTGGATTAACCGGATTTTTTAGTGCCAAATCCATGAGGAAAGTGACTGGCCTTGATTCGCGTCACCTGGCAACACTGCGCCAGATGCTCTTCGTTTGTTGTTGCGGGTGGACGCCGTTACCGTTACTCCGCGTATGCGTATCCGTGTGTCTGTCCGCGTTACCCGTCCGTGTCCGTGTGTGGGTGTAGGTGCGAATGTGTGTGTGGCTTTAGTCGCGTGTCGTCGCCGCTTTCATGTAAAACGAAGAATGTGCAAAAGGTAAAAGCAACAACGAAAACAACGCCAAAAACGGTGGCAACAACAGTGAATGATAAACAGAAGCGAAGCAACAACAAAAAAAAACGCGAGCAAACAAAAGTTGTGAAATATTTTGCTTTTTTTTGGCCTGGTCTGGTGGCAAGTGGCAAAAACGATATAAAAAGCACTTCTCAATACAAAAACTGGTTTACTGAGAGAGCGAGAGAGGGAGCATTTACTGCAAGTGCGAATTTAGAATCTCATTTGCTGCCGCACAGTGGTCACCTTTCAACTTGCCCCACTGTGCGCCCAGAACTTGTTTTCCCCTTTCTGCTCCTTCTCACCTTCCCCTTCCTCTTTACCCCTTTCATTAGCTGTTTTAGAATGCATATATTGTTTATGGCAATCTCACATGCAGCGCCCCGAAATCAATAGGAAAAACTGTTTTCCCCGAAAGAGCCGTTACTTTTCGGGAAAATCCCCGTTCAATTCCCATTCCCTGCCAGCAATCAGCTGGCTCTGCAGTCGACGCAGCTCTGCCGACTTCGGCAGAGAACGGGCAGAGGAGGGGTAGCAGAGGGCGCCTAGCAACAGCGGTTAATCAGGGACGGTTCACGCTTGGGCTCCCAAAATCTTGCCAAACTACTTGTTATGTAACGGAAAAGAAAATTGACGCGCCAAATTTTTGTTATCCTTTGTTGTTGCTAAAAATAGCTATCGTGAAAACTTATCCTGATTTGATAAAACTAACTAAACATCTTTGTAAAGTTATTTTTGTGCTTTTTTGTCTTAAAAAATATTTAAAATGTGGTCGTTTCTCTAAAAAGTAATGATTATTAAAAAAGAAAATGTTTCAAGAAAATTATCATTTTTGAATTCAAGTTAAGAAAGCTCTTTTTTTGGTCTCAAGAAGATTAAAAGCATACTTCATCAGACAGATAAGATTCGTCTGGACCTAATGAACGTTTTTGATCTAACTTATCTTTTAAAAAGTCAAACGACAGGAAAACCTGAATCGAAATCTTAGTACTCAAAGCTGGCATGCAGCTTTTTAATTTTTAGATATCAAGAAGCCTTCAGGAAATCGTACTAAAACTGAAACTCCCTTAGAAGATTACTGATTTTCTTTTGGGCCCCCGCTACCTATGTAATTCCGGCCCTTTCCTCTACCGCCGTCAGCTGTGCGGGCAGTGCGCAGGCGCCTCACACGCACACACCATCAGCAGCCACAGGCAGCAGCAGGATAAAGACCAGCCTGCCAAGTTAACTGCCTGACTTTGGCCCGCAAAATTGCATTGCTGGCGTCTCGCTCGCACGCACTTACTTCGGCAGTAATGCCGGAAAATGGGGGAAAATGGGAAAAGCGATGTGGGCCTCGTGCGCGGCTCGAAGTTCGCATTTTGCAGTTGGCAGTCGGCAGTCGGCTTTACATAAGTTGACGTCCGTGGCAGGCGGCCCGCTCCTGGAACAAGAATTCAGTGCCCGGCTGCAGGTCCTTTGCTCAGGTTGTGTGAACGCGCTTTCAGTTTTTCCGGGGGATCAGCTGCTGGCGCTTTTGCAACTGGTTCGGATTTTCCCATTTCTCATCCTGATTTTTAAAGTTTTCTTTTTTTAGTTTTTTTTTTAATTTGTTCTGCCTGCAAACCGGCTGGATGGCCAAAAGGTTCGTCGACAGTTTGTGTTTTTTCAGCTGTTCGGCTTGTTGAAAAAAAAAGAAGTGGTTAGACCTCTTTTTTATTACACTTTAATTTCGATTTTTGCCATTATTTATCTCATTTCTCAACTATTGCTATTTGCCGCCTGCGTGGGCCACTTTCAAAAGCTTTTTGTGGGGCTTCCGTCGATTAATTTTGGCGTTTTTTTTTTCCTCATTTTTGTTTCTTTATTTATTTATTTCGTTTTCGTCGTTTCATAAAGCCAAAAAACTTGATTTGTGCGCACGGCCAGCCGTAAATCAATTTAACAATATCAATTCGGTCGTAAAACCGTTTGAAAAAATCACGTCTAAACGAATTTATCCATATAAAAAACCATGCAGCCGAAGTGTTAATGTTAATCGAGAAACTACAACAAAGCCAGAGAAAACAATATGTGAGGCGACTTAAAAAGTTAGCTCTGCCACTCGAAAAGATGGCCGCCAGGATGTGCAGCGTCGCTTCCATCGTCATCATCATCTAGTTGCAGCAGCAGTCACAGATACTCACTGATACAGTTACAGACACAGATACACACGCACACCAATGCAGCTGGCAGCCAGACACTCGCACACCAATGCCAGTTCCTCTTAAAGGTGAGTCGCACTTAAAGTTTTACATTTTAAATACTCTGCAGTCGTAAAATTGGGTGAACTGAGAGTCCCTCGAATTCGGGAGCGGATTGTTAAAACTTTGACCTCACAGGGTCTTAGTTATTGAAGTTATCCAGTTTAAATCGCAGTACGATTTGTGATTGGAGGTAAACGTTTCCCATATCACGTTTGATTGTCAATCGCCGAAAACCCTTATACATATATTCAAAAATATAAATATTTAAATTAACATTTCACATTATTTCATTTTTAAAAAGATTAGATGCAATAAAACGTTTGAATCAAATGAATGCAATTTAATTTTCCGAATACTTGTCACATACCAGAAATAACCAAGAACACAGCTAAGTGTTTATTTGAGGATTTCAATTATTCTGACTGTATACAAAGAAAAAGTAGTGTCAATGTAATTATAATTATTTAAGGGTCCCAAAATGGAAGCCGTACGTCATCGACAATAATGGCGTTCTGTTTATCTCACGTAAAAAACATTTCTGCAAGGTCATAAAACGTTTACACATCAGACAGGTATTGTCCAGGGAAATTATTCAAATTTCTTTTTCATTAAACAGTAGTTTAACGGCGAGATAAGATTGCATATCAGACTTATGGATTTTTAACAAGTATTAACTATAAATACATATACGAATATGATTAAAATAGCTTATATTTTAAGTAAGGGTGGAAAAAAAGAATATTTCACTGGAAAAGCTGAAAGTTTTAATATTTCAAACAGTTTTTGCACGAAGATAGCCTCAATAATAATGTGTTATTTGTTTGCTATCAATCCGATTATGTGCCATTCCTTGCCCTTCTTGCTCCTTTTTAAGATAATCTTCAATAAATATATGTGCGGGCAAATGTATTTTGAAACCTTCGTCTATCAAGCCTTGTGAAATGTCCAATCAAGACGAGAATGGCATGATGAATGACCTCAGCATTCCCATCAATCTTAAACAATTGTCCCCCTTCGTCTGCCAGCGAATTTTTGCTTGAATTTCTTTGATATTTGGCGACTATCCGTTGTCTTTCGTGAGTTGATTTTTTGAGCTTGCGTGCTTAGAGCATCTCAAAGTCTAACATTTCTCATTCGGTTTTGTGTTGGCAGAAAAACCCCAAGCGCGAATTTTTATAACCGCTTGGAGTCGGAATTGGAATCGGATTTGAACCCGGGGACGAAGCTGGGATCTGGCCAGAGGAGAGTTCAAACCGAGTGGAGGGCTGTCTTTTTTTTTCTTTTTTTTTATTTTTATTATTATTATTTTTGGTTTTTCTTTTTCGGTTTGGTTTTGGTCGCGAGCCCATTGAAAAAGCTCGTCAAACCAGTCGCCGTTTGTATGTTGTTTTTGCTTTTGGTGGCTCTGTTTCCTAGGCCTGGGCAGCAAACTGGCCCCCGTTGATGACTTTTTACATAGACGTTGGCCCGAAGAGATACCGACTGAGATACGAGAGCCAGGCCAGGCCAGCCAGCCAACTAACAGACAAAACACACGTATCTAAACTTGTTTGAAACGTGTTACATTTTAAGAACGTTCGCCGCAAGCGGCAAGTGGCAATAATCCTTTCAAACTTGACAGTGCTGCCATGTTCGAAAACGCGAAGGGCCTGCCCCAGTGGGAGTGGCATGGATTCTCGCTTTTCTCTTGTTTTTTTTTTTTTTTTTTTTTGTTGAATAGCATGTGTATCGATGTATCTATGTAACCGCATCTCTATATGCTGGCTGTCAGTCTTTTTGGGTCTGCAGACATTTTGGCTGCCTTTGTTGTTATCATAATGTTATTTCTGTTTTTTTTTTGCACTACACACGGGCTCTCTCCTTTTACCCAAATCCCACACAAAATGGTCATAAAGAACGGACGGAGAAAAAGTGAAATTGATATTTTCGCACAAATTGCCGTTAACAAGGATTGGTGGCTGGGGGGTGTGGGGGGGTGGTATTGCCTGGAACCTAGGCAACGAAAAATTTGCCTGTCAAAATTTGGTTGAAAATATGCAGCAAAATGAAATGGGAGAAATAAAATAAAAACGGTTAGGTGCAAACGGGAAATTGTTTACCGTGGTTCCAAAATGATGTAATTTCGCGTGCTCGTGCAATTCAATTTCCTGCCAACGGAAGCCCGTGTCGCTCTGTTCGCCCATTGAAGTCAAACATTCATTCCCGACCCCATCAGCCTCCCTTACCAATAGCAACCCACCCACCCCCATATCAGCAAGTTTAAAATATTGTCCAAAAATTGTTTGGCAATTCCAGTCTCTTTTTTTTTTGTTCTCTCCAAACTTTAATTGTCCCCCGACCAAATTTCGTTGAGCATACAGTGTCAGAAAAATGGGTAGATATTTATGTGTGCATATGTATATTCTCGGCTACAACAACATGCATTATGTAAAATTCAATTTAGCTGAATCTGCTATCTTAGCAGCTCATCCGTTCTGGACCGCCTCTCCCTCCAAACAGTCAATTAAATTTAGCGTATATCTTGTAAAGAGAAGAGTATTTCTATACTTTGTTTCTTAAACGATTTACTGGTACATTAATAAAATTAAAATATGTAAATTTATAATTTTGAGGATAAGTATATTCACATATTGTGTAATACATTTCATGTAGTGAATCAAAAAATACAAAATAATATAATTTAAATGACGTAATCCGTTCTCCTAAAATAAAATTCTGAATAGAAATCATGATAATAAAGAATTAAATGTGGTAAATAGGCCCAACAAATAAATAAATAACAATTAAACCTATTACTTTAAACATTTTAATAATCTTAATTTCTTCAAAAGATTAATTATGTTATAAGCTCCAATAGTAGTACCAACATCCGTCTAAGAAATCAACTCAATATCTTTGAAAAGTGTATATAAAGTTTGTTATTTGTTTGGGTATAGAATTTCCAAAAAATATTTGCCATATTTCGCATAAATAAATTATATTGAAAAGACGTCCCCCGGCCAGTCGCTGCCTCTATAGCCTGCTGGCTTTCGTTTTTGGCCGGGCCTGGCGGGCATTGCCTATATTAACAATAATTCCTTTGTGCCCGGGCATCTTGCCAAAAAGTTGGGCGACCGCCTGCTCCTGGCACAGCAGGCGACGAACGTTTTGTGGCCAATTTCCCGTACCCAAAGGCCGACTTTTTGTGTGACCCATTGTCAAGTCAAGTCAAGCCGGACAAGGCCTACTCTCTCCCATTCTGCCGTTCTCCTACGACGTTTTGTCTAGAGTTAAGTCCAGAAGTTTGTTTGCAAGAAAAAGTATTACCAATGCAAAGACTGGGTGAGCGAATTGCAAACTTTGGAATCCATGAAAACCAGTAAGACAGCTGGAAGACCATTGATTGAAGGTGGTAATGCGGTTCGTTTGGATTTTCAGGTTGCCTTGCTCGAGGTCGCTATTCAATTTCGAGCAATTTGTGCAATGGTTTGAACATGTAGTACTTTGAAATTGTTATTTCGGTAAATTTATTCAAAAGAAAATATAACTTTTGTGTAAAGTTGTTCGAAGTCGATCAAGAGGATGACGATGGCACGAAAATAAAACACAAGATCAATTAGACTAAATTATTTTTTGTTGGTTGCTGTTGTAGATGTAGTAATACCCCCCGTTGAACTTCAGAGTGGCCAGTTCATAGTGCGCGGTGCCGCTCACCGGATTGGCGGCCACCCGCACCGGCGACGCGGTGAAGCTGAGGGTTCGGTAGAAAAAAGCGGTGAGGAAGCTGGCACTGATCACAAAGGCCACAAAGAAGCCCAGACAGAAGACACAGTCCTTGTTGACCTGTAGGCACAGGCAAAAGGCGCCGGCAAAGTCGCTGATTGAACGACCAATTCTCGCACAGAAAGTCTGCCGAAGCTGGGGAGGATGGGGTGGCAGGTTGTTGCCGCTGATGGTGATCGTGTGATGGGATCGTTCGCAGGGCGGACGATTCGTATCTGTCCTCAAAGTGGTCAGATCCAAACGATATCGTCTGGGTGGTGAAAATACACCAGCGGTCTGGGTTGCTAGATCGCAATATTGCGGCACTTGTAGAATCACCGCTGGTTCTTCCGTTAAACGCGCTTCAATGAGGTCCAGATTGCGGGAAAAGCGATTAAGTATCTCCAGTACGTTATACATTCGATTAGGGCCATATTGATTCACACTAGCTGACTTTGACTGGAGATCTCTTCTTAACGTATACTTAATCTCCTCCAATTTTTGTCTGTTTTTAGTGGACTGTGCACTTGTGCTGGGCCCATCATCTAGTTGGAAAGTCACTTGGCTGTTTTCCATTTCCTTCCCTTGAGTAGAGCTTAAGTTTGTTTTCTTGAGATACTCCTCTTGGTTGCGGTTTCTAGGATCCTCCGTCTCAGTGGCTTCCAAATTTGCATCCGACAGATAAACAACTTGGGCGTGATCAACATCGGGTGGTATATTTATTATCACTTGACCCTGCGACTCCGATGATGACAGACTTTCATCTTCTTTGCCTTCATCTTTTCGATAATCCATTTATTTTTCGGGCTTAAAACAGGGAATTTTTGATCTGCCAATACCAAATTTGAAAGTTGAATTTACGACCGATGTGATAGTTGTCAACATCGTGTCGCGTTACCGAAATTATGTTGGCTTTAGAGCTTGTAAAACTTTTTTCGAACATTTTCTAAATTTTATCTGTGGACGCTATAAACTTAATGGCGTGCAGGGAGCCACCTCAAACTGCGATCGTCATTAACTTGTTGATTGGCGACTTGGTGCAGGATGCCGTAAACGAGCCGCTAAAGCTTTCCGAGCAAAAGAACACCTGCCAGCGGCTGTTCGACATTTTGGGCTTTCAGGCCGACGAGTGTTTCGAGGACGTGGAGGTCAGTGATGTGGCTACGACACAGAGTTCGAGTACCCTTCCGGCCAGTTCAAAATCGCATTTAGTCGAAACCAAGCAAAAGAATTGGTACGGTTGGATGTCCAAGGCGTTGACAGAAGGTAAGAAACTAAAAGTACCAACAGATACATAAATCCAGAGTTGTATAAGGCCCGAATTTCGATTATTAATACTAAAGTTTATTCCTAAATTTATAAAAAGTATTTTCTTATCAACGTTGTTTGAGTCCCAGAGTGTGCTTTACATTTATGATGTTGATAGTACACCATATATAGTATTTTATTGATTTTTTTTCGGAATCTGATTTATATATTTTAATATATATGGTTTTGTAATGGTACAACGAACAAACTATTGTCAATTAATTGCATTAATATTCTAAAGTTTGTATTAATTTGTTGGAAAATGTTGAAAAATACTCATTTGTATTTCTAAATTCTAACCAGTTCGTGCCGAGTCGAACAATAGAACTCTTGCTTTCTTCATTAAATCAAAACCACAACCTCTAATCAATGTAATAACTCGCAGAAAATTCCGAGGACGATGTTGAGATCTTCAGGAAGGATAAGAGTGGTGCGCTAAAATCATTCGATTCGATCGGGGTGCAGACGGAGCAGCCGCGCCGGAGGATTAGACCCTGTCCTGTGGATTACCTCCCGACACTTGCCCCCTGCGAATTGACTCGTCAAACGATATTTATCGATGCCGTGTCCATGCCAATACCAAATATTTTGGGTCGGCCGCCATTGGCCGATCGGTTTTGCTATATGCTGACTGATTTCGCCTCGGCGCTTTATTGTAGTCTCGCCATCATGTGTTGTTGCACCCCCAATATGTTGAGATAAATTAAAGCGTAGCGGGTTGGGCCTCTGCTTTGCTAAACCGCCACTGGTTTTTAATTTAATTAAGAGCGAAAAGAACAACCTTTTATCACAACTGTTTGGGCTGCTGGGCCCCCCGCACCAAGTCACGCTTCAAATCGATCTGCTGATTGACATTGGTCTGCAAGAAGCTGTAGTAGTGGCCCATCAACAAGTAAAGACCCCACAGGCACAGGACAACGAACAGGAAATAGGTGAAATTCTCGCCGATCATGGATGCGCAGGCCACAATCGTATCTCCGGTCTGCACAAGGACATTCCACATCCTTTGGCGCAGTGGTGGCCTTTGCATATCCGTGGCGGATGTCACCGACTCCACCTCGATGTGGATGGTGTGCTGCAGGACCTTGCTCGGCTTCTCCGTCTCCGTATCAACCCTTTCTCCTCCCACGATCGCCAACTTCGTCTCCAAATCCTTGACACCAACCGGCTTTTGATTCTCCGCACTCCAGGAAGTCTGGCTGCTCACCTCACAGGTGGGTCTGAGTGTGCTATCCGACAACTGCGTGGCACTCGATGCCCTCAGCTCCACATTTGCATCTTCTGTGGGGACAAAATATGTTTAGGATAATTTTGTCTTACTTCAAAGGATATTTAGCTTGAGTTTCCTACTCTCAAATTAATTGATTTATCATTATACCCTTGCAGAGGGTATTATAATTTCAGTCAAAAGTTTGGAACGCAGTGAAGGAGACATTTCCGACCCTATAAAGTATATATATTCTTGATCAGCATCAACAGGAGAGTCGATCTAGCCATGTCCGTCTATCCGTCCGTCCGTCTGTCCGTTAAAGTCAACGCTAAAATGAAAATTTTGAATGCAGATTCAACCACAAGTCTTTAGATGTATGCCACTTTGAATTCGGATTATATTTGGTAAGGTTATGGAATCTAGAAGTCCAATTGTGGGTCACCTTTGGGCAACTCATCGGAAACTTAGAAATAACCAACATGAAAATGGGTCAAAAAGTCGGTCAACGCTAAAATGAAAATTTTGAATGCAGATTTTTAGAGAATCCAACCACAAGTCTTTAGAGGTATGCCACTTTGAAATCGGATTATATTTGGTAAAGTTATGGAATCTAGAAGTCCAATTATGGGTCACCTTTGGGCAACTCATCGGAAACTTAGAAATAACCAACATGAAAATGGGTCAAAAAGTCGGTCAACGCTAAAATAAAAATTTTGAATGCAGATTTTTAGAGAATCCAACCACAAGTCTTTAGAGGTATGCCGCTTTGAAATCGGATTATATTTGGTAAGGTTATGGAATCTAGAAGTCCAATTGTGGGTCACCTTTGGGCAACTTATCGGAAACTTAGAAATAACCAACATGTAAATGGGTCAAAAAGTCGGTCAACGCTAAAATGAAAATTTTGAATGTAGATTTTTAGAGAGTCCAACCACAAGTCTTTAGAGGTATGCCACTTTGAAATCGGATTATATTTGGTAAAGTTATGGAATCTAGAAGTTCAATTGTGGGTCACCTTTGGGCAACTCATCGGAAACTTAGAAATAACCAACATGAAAATGGGTCAAAAAGTCGGTCAACGCTAAAATGAAAATATTGAATGCAGATTTTTAGAGAATCCAACCACAAGTCTTTAGAGGTATTCCACTTTGAAATCGGATTATATTTGGTAAAGTTATGGCCGACTATATCCGATAGCTGCCATATAACTGAACGATTGGAATTGCCATAACTTTGGTTTTTGTAAAGTTGGGATTTTGTATGGGTTTTATGGTCAACCAATATAATTTACAGAATATTCTGCAAGGGTATGTCAACTTCGGCTCCGCCCGAAGTTAGCTTTCCTTTCTTGTTTTTATATAAACAATATACATTTGTAATTGCAAAGAGTTCTGGCATATATTACCTTCCTTAAATACAAGCTGCTCGGACAGGACTCCCCTCAGCCGGAATGGAAGGCCAGCATGATGCTGGTGCTCACTGTCCAGGATTTTGGTGTAATCTTCGAACAGATGGAGTAGTTCGACGAAGCGTTTAGTGATCTGCCTGTGACTCAGATGGATTTCGGTCAGGTAGCCTGGTAGTTGGTTATCCTGTATTTGATCATCCCGACCCTCGATGTTCCAGCCAATGGGTGGCGTTCCAGTTTTATTCCCCAAACTTTTCCCTGCCTGCACTATTACGATGGAGCTATCATCTCCGGGAGGGACACTCTTTGGACTCAGCATGGGGAAGGTCTTCTAGTCGGTCGTTGCCGTTTTGATTTAGTGTGTTTTTTCTGTGAAAATCATGAGTGTTTTTGGGTATAAAGTGAATTAAATTTACTTTCAACCGGTCGTGTCATTTCAAAGCTCTCTGTCTGAATTTTAAGCAAAGGGTTGCTTTATCTGCTGCAAACGACCCTGCCAGCCCTGCAATTGAGCCTCGTTGGGCAGTGGATAATTTTTGCGCTAAATTAAGCAATTTCCTGCCCTGTCTGGCCGGCAAATCCAGAAGCTCCTGTCCATCGACACTTCAGGGTCGGCTCTCGTCTATGGATTTTCCTGTCCAATATGACAATTATGACGGTCTACTGCACTAATGTTATTTCGCAAAAGCGCATTTTAAGAACCAAATCAAGCTGGAGGGTTGCTCTCGAAATGATTTTCCATTCAGCTTTTTGGCTGTTATATCCACGAAAAATACCTTAAGGAATATCAATCCAAAAGTGATAATGTCCAGACAACAAAACATATTCCAATCCATTTAAATTCGTTATTTTTTCCTATAGTTTCTATTTTTAAAATATATTCTCAGCAAAAACTTTATAACACAAAGAACAAGTTTAAAACTATTCATTCAATTTGCCCCGAAAATGCAGTTTCAATACTCCTTTAATGTGCAAGTAAAATAAATTAATGAAAATCAAAACTTTCGCTTCTTGCCACCCATAAACTGTCATTTTATTATATGATATTTTTTTTTTCATTTTTGCTTTAGAAGCAAATTCATCCCCCAGATTTAAACCACAATTTCCGTTCAATGGCAAAAAGCTGTCTCCGTATATTTCATAATTTGTTCGAGGGAAACTTTTCGATGAAACTCTATTAAAGCAGGGACATAATAAATTCATGGAATATTTCGAGTTGGCTGTGAAGCGGTCTGTGGATATGGTATGTGGACAGTACGCACATTTGCAGCGGAGGAAAACTGAGTGGAGGGGGAGGGGAAAACTTTTTTCGATGCTGTCCGTGGTAAGTCCTCTGGCGTCCAGTGCGCACCTGCTACTCAGTGGTCGTGTTTTTGAGGGTTGGGGATGCATCTTTTGCTCCGGCCATTGTTATCATTTAAAAGGCTTAAGTGCGCCGAAGATTTATATTTATATTTGAAAGGGAAGGAATAAAAGGACAACAGCAACGGCTGGCAGAGGGAATCTCGGTCCCTGCGACAAGAAAATAAGATAAACGTACACTTTATTGATTTTCCACTCGCATGTGCCGGCCACTGAGTTTGCCTTTGGATGCTGTTGCCATGGACTGCTGCATCTCTTCTGCCCTTTGTGGCGCAGTTTTGTCGCTTGTCCAAAAAATGGGGAGTTTGTGGGAGTGGTGTAGTGGGTGGGAGGGTGTAGTGGGTGGGAGGGTGTAGTGGGTGGGTGTAGGATGTAGGATGTAGGCAGTAGGGAGTGGGTGTACAGAGTCGGCTTAAATGGGCAGCCAACGCCTGCGCTTGATTCATCTGCCAGTTGATTGGTGTTTGTGCGAAAGTGTTGAAGCAGAACAACTGGGATTGAGTGGCCGCCATCCTTTATCCTCCAGTTCACCCCTTGGCTGTATGTTAAGCTTTATTTGTGTTGCCTACTTTGAGGCTGCACCAAGGGGCGCACAAATCGATCGTGCTGTTGCTCCCATATATTGGATTTACACAAAGCCCATTTTGGAAACGCATTTCCTGAAAATCCATTCGATTTTAATCCATTCATTTTAATTACATTATGAAGTACTTTCCTTTCAACCGGAAATGAGAGAGAAGATTTAATTTTACTATTTATATTAAAATTCGTAAGGAAATCATTTCAATTTGTTTTCTTTTGTTCTAAATAATTTTTCTGATTTAAAAATCTTTAAAGTAAAGGGCTTAACGAAATAAACTATACACAATTGAGTGATTATAATAACTGAGAATTTTTAAATGCATTTTCAAATTAATTAAAACTTGTACTAAATAAGCTATTTATATTTTAATTATTTAAAAAAATAAAACAAAATTAAAGTTTTCTTAAAATTGTTTTTAAATCCTTAATTAAATTCGCACCATTTGTTTTTTGGCAACCTTTCTGATTTCGCTGTATAAAATTGCGTCGGCCTCTTTTCTGAATTTATGAGGTGATGCTGATTATCCTCTGTGCCACAGTATAAATATATATAAGTCTATAGCCCAAATGGTGCAACTGGGCAAATATAGTAGGCGTCTAACCGTTGCCAAAAGTTCTAGTCCGCGCTTCGGGTTTGGCCAGCTCGTAAATAATATTTGTTTAGAGATATTTTTGCCTTAATGCTTGTTTGCTTCCTATTACTCTCGGCCGGCTCGTTTATCATCTTGGCCAGAGCCTGCAATTTCGGATGCTGCAGGAGCAAAAGGACTTGCGAGTGGCGCAGCATGTATTCAATTAGCGCCTGGCAAGAATTGGATTTTCATCGTGCCATATTATCAAAAAGCTCATTATTTCTCAACTCATTTCTGGAATGTTGGCCAAGATTGCCAGCTAGTTAAGTTTATGTCTATTTTGGGGTTAGATAATGCATTTCGTTCTTTGAGATTTTGTGCTTGTTGATTTATTTTAATTTATTCAAATATAGTTATAGCTTTATTCTCAAATATGTTATTAAAAATGCAGTCGGTATTTGTTAAACTATTTTTAGGGTATAGTGTTATAAAAATATTAGTGTCCTACTATAGGAGCACAAATAAAACCAATCGATGTATTTTTTTACATCATAATAAAAATCATATTAAAAATTGGTTAATATATGAACATTCTAATATATAATTTCTAACAAATCGATGAGAAGATTGTCCATTTTCATGGTGCATTGCTAGTCACTGTCTAAACTTAGTCCTGCACCCTAATATATAATGAATACTGCGATGTTGTAAAAGGTCCATTCTGTTATACAAACAAAATAGAAGTTGATGTCATACTCACTTACACCTGCCAGAGTCTTCAAAGCGTTGTCAAAGCGCTTGCCACTCTTGTCTATGGCAAGAGGTAAGTGAAATTTCCGGGTGAATCCCCAACTAGGAACCCCTCTACCTTCTCGTCCTTGTGGCAATCAGTAGCTGGCTATTTTCTCACCTGGCCACTTGGCGCTTAGACATGGCCCGCTGCTGGTTAGTTGGCATTTAATGGCATTTGACACTCTTCATGGTGTCTGCAAGCAAAAACATCAGGAGCAAATACAAAATAGAAAAAAAAAATGCTAAGAACGTTATATTGCAGAGTAACTCGACTGTAAAATACCCAGGAATTGTCGCTTACAGAAATCGGGCAGAAATTACTGAAAAAATAGTCGTTTCACCTCAAAAATCAATACCGTCAAATACCACTTACCTGTGGTAAAGAATCTTATTAGTATTCATTAGATTTATCTGACGATTAGAAACAAAAAACTTATTTAAAAGATTGAAAAGCAAAATCAATAATTTATAGGGTCTTCCAGTTAAATAATTTTTTTCCGAATGCAATATACCCATGAGAATACCGCGTAAAAAATAGGATAAAGAAGAGTAAAATAGACGTAATGGAAATATTGCGAAGAAAATCAATAGAAAACGATAAAGGAGATAGAAGGACAGGCACCGGGCTGCATGGAGCCGGTCGAGCACTTGCCTAATGAAGTTGTCCTTAAATCGGGAAAGGCATCGAAGGGACACGAAGCCAGAGTAGAAAAGGAAGCGAGTGCCGGGTTCCCAGACAACAGCAATAACAACATCAATGCACTTAATGCTCTTGTTTGCTTAACTTTATTTGATGTCCTGGCCTTGCTTATTTTTCCCCACACTCTGCGAACTCATATGTATGAAAAAAGGCCACGCAATTTGCCAAGGTTTTTGTCTCTGCCATATGTACAATTTCAGGAAATGTAATTTCAGGACAGTAGAAAATTCCGATTAGAGGCCACTGATTTGTGATTGCTGATTTTATCTGCGGAATGCTGGGCTTTCCAATCAGAGTTATCCTAGGGTATGTAAAAAAAAAAAACCGAATAAAGTATAAATGTGTAGCTTTAATAAAGATGTGCATCTAAAATGATTTGACAAGCCCCCAAGCTTAACTTGACTAAATAACAATTTTTACCGAGCTTGCAAAGAGTATTTAATTATTCAGCATGTCTTACTTATTCTAACTTTCGCTGTTGTTTTCCTCGCTGGCTTGTTTTTGTTTTCCAGCGATGACTATGTTGTTTACAAATGAACGCAGCTTACGCAGCACGAACAGCGGGACAAGGACTTCTCCCTGCCTGCCACATGCTGACCACTGGTAGTCGCAAAAATAAAAATAAAGAAAATAAAAGAATAAAAAAAAGGAAAAGGAGGGATTAAATAAAAACAGGACATCAACTTGCTGGTCTCGAGTGTAATGCATTTAGCGTTGGTAAAGAAAATATTCGCTGGCCGATATGGCTCTTTCCATAGTCCTGGACCGTCATGCCTTGTACCGAATACTTGGCTTATTTTGCGGTCAAATTAATGCAGCTGCAGGAGGCAGGGCAGCCAGGAACTCGTCTGGAACTTGTTCACGGTGCATGTATTTTTAATTAATTGCAATCCCCCCCTGTTCTCAGCCGGAGTAGCAGGAGTTGAGTTTGCCCCACCATGCCATCGCATGCCATGTCCTCCCATGTGGTCAGGTCCGCCTCTCGTCCTTCGATCGCTCGTGTCCATGTTACTCCTGTTTCTTATAACTTATGTAATTGATATAAGGTTACTTAATTTTCACTTTCAAGCGTCGTTACTTATGAAAAGCTGAATGTGTAGATATTTTAGTATAAAAATACATTTATAAAATAAATTTGAAAAGAAAAGTTTCTTTAAAAGTTCAACAAATTTGAACAATGTTAAAAATATAACTGTGGGTAGTTTCATTTTAAGTGAAATTGCACATCGCTGTAAGATATAAAGCAGGTTTACCAATAATTTTTATTTAAGCATTCAAAACTGTGGCAAACCTTAATATTAAAGTGAACAAATATCATAAAAGCCCTGTGTAAAAGGGCATTTTAGATTCGCATAGAAAAAAGCCATGTCTGTATGTTGTTATCATCATTTGGCCCGATATGACCGCAAGTCAACGCCACCTCCTTCTTTACCAGCAGCGCTACATCATTTGCGGTTAATTGTAATTAAAGTTCAGTGGTATGCTCCAGTGCACACATGTTGCCCCTTCTGCCGGCAAACTTTTCTGTGCGGTCACCACCACCACCATCACCATCACATACCAAAGGACATCCTGTGCGAGCTGAGCATTCCGTGTTCATGATGTCACAAGTAAAGCAAACAATTTGAAACGATTCGATACGCAACACACATTGTTGTTCTGCCCCGTCTCCAGATAATTTTGGCAAACCAAATTCCAGTGACGACGATTCGAAAGGATCAAACCCCTTTCCCAAAACAATGCCGGAAACGAAGACGAAGACGCTTTCCAGCCCCAGCAATGGTCTCGACCAAGCGGATGAGGGCGATGTGATTGCCGCCGCCAATCGTCTGGTCCCTCGCACCCGCAGTCCCACCCCCAGGCACCCTCGCCCACGCCCCCATCACCAGCGTCCGCCGCAAGGTCGTCGAGATGCCGGCGGCTTTACGGCCAGCCAGGAGAATCGGCTGAAGGCCGGCGACATGCGCATGGCCCGGATGCAGATCAGTCTCTCCCAGCTGCGCACCGAAATGGAGGAGTCGAGCAAGGAGATCAGGGACCTCTGCAAGGCGATGCGGGTCGATGTGAATGCTGAGTAAAAAATGTCCTGGAGATGTCCTGTAAATGCCAGTTAGATATCCTGAAAAACAAATGCTTTATTGTGTAGTCCACAATTTATTTTGTGAAGCCCTGCAGTTAATGTGTAGTCGGAAGGCGTGCGGATCGATGTGAATGCTGAGTAAAATGTCCTGGAGATGTCCTGTGAAATGTCTATTAGTTAGCCTGGAAACCCAATTCTTTATTGTGAAGTCCTTCATTTCTTTTGTGAAGTCCTGCAGTTAGTGTGAAGTCAATTTAATTAATCAAATTAACATGATATCAAATTTGATGGTATATTAAAGAATTTTTGTGTTCAATAAACTTTGTAACATACAAATCACATTCAGTGGAGTCCACAATTTTGATGGGAAAACACAAGTTATATATCTAATACAAATCAAACTAATTTAAGGAATACATAATACCAAACCCGATAGTTTTTAACAAATTAATAATTACTTAATGAGGAATATATGCATACAGACATAGTTTTTCCTGAATGAGTGTGTTGCCTTTTTTACGATTTCACTCTGGTTCAATCTCGACCAGAATGATGACAATCAAAAATACTAATACAAACCCTTCCTTGTTTTCTTCTAGGCTGGATGTATCCCATGTCAGTTTCATTTATGAGTTTTAGTATTAAAACTACCGAAGCTCATTCGGAGCCCACCAAAAAGCATTCGACTGTTGTTCCACGGAGCCTAAAAAAAGAGACAGGTAAATATATACATACATATGTACATATGAGCTGTATTCATATGTTAATATATAGAAACCCAGCTTTCTCATAATATCATGACCCCAAATCCCATTCGCACTTGGGAGTTTTGAGGAGGAAGCGTGATGGCTTGATTTAAATTAAAAATTTATTGCATATTATTTTTTTTTTTGCTCCACCCATCATTGCATATTGCCACTGTGTGCGGGCCCAGAAAAAATGTGCAAGTTTGTATTTAAGTTTATATAGATGTGTGTGTATAAATTAAATTTGTGTGCGCCTGTGAACGCGCACAGGGCCAACAACCGGCAACATGCATGAACATGCTATGAACTCGAATTTCCAACGCCAACGGGTTAAGGATGTCCTGGCCCGGGGACAACTGAAAGATAGGGTGGGACGGGGCAAAGGTACATACCGTATATGTATACTGAAAGCCAAAGGAGCCACCGTGGGTGCTCTGTTGAGTTAAGGGTCTGGCGGTCTGGCACTTCAGCAACCGTTTTGATTACTCGCATGTTTTCGCGTGCAACTAAATTAGCGCACGTGTAATCAAGTTCTTTTCGCTGCAAAAACAACGAAAAAATATGGAAAATTTACATTGAAGCTTGTATGAACCTCCGTCCTTTTTGGCCCCACCAAATCCCCATCCCTTACACAGGTTCATATTTTTCTGTGGCGTTTGTTGTCGGCAGGATGTTTAAACTAAAGTAATTGATGTCCCCTTGGATGACATATTTTACGATAAGTGGAAATTCGGCAATAAATCATAGCAATCATGTTATAAAATATTCAACAGAATGGTTAGAAAAATTGCGTCCAAGAGTGTCTCAAAATATCCATAAATCATAAGAGGGTTGAGACACACGTATACTCAATCCATATAAAACTGAGAGTTATCTAATAGTGTAACTGTTTTTGTTTAAGAAGGTGAGAATAATCTGCTAATCTGCTGGCACAATAAAAGAAAAACATAGCGGTATTACTTTTATAAAAATCGGACGATTGTATCATATAACTGTCATAGAAACGATCCAATGTTGTGCATCAAAATCGAAATATAGAATTTTATAAACTTTTTAAGCTTTAGCTGTTTATAAAGTTTACTTTCCTTATTGTTTTGTGTATTTTTGCCATTAATTTTTGGATCACAATTCATTTATCTACGATTGATATTGATATTGACTTAAAAAGTAATCAATATTATCTATGTTTTTATGAGCAACGTAATAAACGATATCATGTTCTAATAAAAACATCTGTTGAAATGTGCACATAAAATAGGGAAGCTCATTGTTTATCTTTAATCTTTGCATTTATTTATTTTACAAATATTTACATAAATATTATCTTTTGCGATAATATGATAGTGTTTTTAATTTGCTAAAACAAATTGACATCGTTTATTGCCAAAGGCTTCGTGAAGTTACAATACTTCGTATATATATGTAAAATTATGTAAAAATTTATGTTACTATCTAAAATTGATCAGCTGAATATGGGATAATTTTTCCGCTTGCAATGACTCGGGCACTCAATCTCTGATTTATTATATATTCAATGAGGGATCGAAATTTTCCAAGCGGTACAAACGAAGGGAAGTCTTGCTCATCCATCGTCATGTTTCTCACTTCATAGCTAATATTCTGTGGGTATATGCCAAAAATAGTTGAGTTTTCTACATTTTGTTAAAAAATATACTTACACCTTGAAAGGGACACTTAAATTTTATATTAGAATGTTTTTTCAAACTTGTTCCAAAAACATTAAACAATCGATTTTTGCTAGCATTCTCCAAGAAATTACATCCATCGAACCGAACATCGTATAGTGTCATTTTTTGTTTACTTTTTACCTTCCAAAAATCAAGTGCGGCATGAACTTTTAAATCTGAGACGGTATTTTTAAAAATATGACCCGAGTCCATGTAACTGCGATTGTTAAACTGAAACACCTTGCAATAAAATGTTTCATACACATCTGGATCGACATGAGTAATGTTAACTTGGTCAATAAAAACTCGAAAGTTTCGTTCTTCAGTTCCCAAACATTGAAATATAAATAGGGAGCAGCAGATCCAAAAGCAAAAATTCATGACTGTGGGTAAAAGCAGACTGAACTATTTATATTTATTTACAGAAATATAATATCATTTTGGAGGCATTTAAAAGTTGTTTTTCGGTTTTGATACTTTATGGCCCATAAAAATTTATTGGAACAATAAATTTAATTGTTTAGACGGGATGCTATTAATATTAGCGAAATGTACTTTTCAAATTAAGATTGCTTTTATCGGCCCGATCGACGACTAACAACGCGGATAGTTAATTGCAGAGCCTTTCGATTTTTAACGAATATATTTCAAACCAATATAAAGTTTAATTCTGGCGCATAGCTGAAGCCATTAATATAAGATCAAAAATGATTCACTTAACATTTTAAAAGGGCATTGCCACGAAAAATTCGCAACTAGTCGGTTATTATCTTTAGTACAAATTGTGATTTTAGAATTGCTATTGGCTGACAATAGTCAATTTCCAATTTGGTTATGGATTATCCATGTCTTAAGAAAAATACGTAATAGTTTTGATCGTTTTTAAATTTTATTATATTATGTAAGCAAATATTATTTTAAAGGTATAATTTCTTCAAATTAGCCTTTACCTTTATTTATCTAAAAATAAAAAATAATATGTGAGCAAATGGTATTTTAAAGGTATAAATGATTTTACTTCAAATTAGCCATTATCTTGTCATTAATCTAAATATAAACAAAACAAAAAATTTGGTAGCCTAGTTTTGATACTAAATTTGTATCTCATATCGTGGATACACTTCACCTTTTTCAGTGCCTGTATTTATCAATGCATTTGTATTTACAGAAGTCTTTTTAAGGCTCAAGCTATATTAAAGAAAATATTAAAATAATAAGATTAGTTCAAATCAAAATTTATTTCAAATTTTTGGACATATAATAGATGAATATTTAGTGTTTCAAAGCCTGGCTATAACTTTTCCGCGAGCTATAGCACGCAATCCAACTTTACTTTGATTAAGATAGAAATCGCTTAGGCAGCGGAATGATCCAAGCGGCAAAAATGGGGGATAATCCTTTTCGTCTATATAGAGTTTTTCTATTGAATAATTTAAGTTCTGAAAAGAAAGTAATCTTATTAAGCTATTTACTAATGTACAAGAATTACTTACCGCTTTAAGGGGACATCCCAAGTTAGAATATTTTTTCAAGGTTTTTGAATATAAGTCGAAAAATTTATTTATTTGATTATTTTCCAGGAGCAGGCAGGCATCCAATTGAGCATCGTACAATTTCATTGCTTTACCATTTGGTTTCCAGAAATCCAATATTGTGCGAATATTGACTTGGACAATTTGTCGACTTAGGAACAATTGACAATTAACATAGTTGCGATTACTAATTTGTAAAACCTGGCAATCGAACTTTTCGACTGTATCCGTTTCGAAAATCCTTGTGGTGATATTATCGATGATTATTCGAAAGTTGCGCTGCTCTGTGCTCACACATTCAAAAATTAAAAACCAACGGATCCAAAACCAAGTTTTCATGTTGAACGCTTATATTGCAATGCTGCAGTTCAACTTACGATGATGCTGATTGTTTCACCTGGATGAACAAGTTGTTAAGTAAAGTGCCTTATAAATTGTTGGTTAAATTTGTTTTTTAATTCGTGCCATACGAGGCACCATTAATATACATTTAAAATACACTTGTCAGCAGAAAAGTTGGGTTTGATACAAATAATAATTTACAAGCAAATAATAATTAAATTAAATGTGTCCGCTTCTGTGGCATTAATTGCAAATCTAATATATAGAAATTTAATTTTTGTAACAGCTGCAAAAGTATATAAACAATGGCTTGTCGGAGTTTGCTCCCTTTCTGAATGGTATTAATTTTTGTAGAAAAACTGATTTATCCACGATAAGAAAAAATTCAGCTCCTAAGCCCTGTATAAACTTTGATAATCAATAGTATAGGTGATTTATGAGCAACCTTATAAACGATATCATGTACTAATAAAAAACATCTGTTGCAATATGCAGATAAAATAGGAGTCATATTTAATCTTTGTGAAGGGTACACAAATATTTACAGCATTCAGCATACATACATTTACATAAATTTCACAGTGGCATACTTCCAAATGATTTAATAAATCATATGATATAGTAAACCAATCCAGGCCGTTCTGACTTAATTATTATTTGAAAGCAGGCTAAAATATTTATTTATTTTACATAAATAGAATATAATTTTTAAAAGTCATCGTGGTGTTTTTTTACTTTATGACCCATAATAATGTATTGAAACAAAAATTGTAATTTTCATAGACGGGATAATTTTAATAACAGCGAAATGTACTTTTGAATTTATCGGCCCGATCGACGACGAACAACACGACCATGGATAATTAATGTAAGAGCTTTTCGATTGTTAACAAATATATTGCAGTCCGATATAAAGTTTAATTCTGGCGCATAGCTGGGTATAAGCTTTGAGTTGATTGAGAAGTTATTAACGTAATACCTTTTATTCTGAAAAAAAAATTAATATATACACATACTCATTTAATTTTGAATGAATTCACTTACCATTTTAAAAGGACATTGCAACGGAAAATTCGCTACTCGTCGCAGTTCATCGGCAATCATTTTTAGTAAAAAATGTGATTGCAGAGATGCTAGTGCCTGACAATAGTCAATTTCCATTGCAGTATAGTTGGTTATGATTGATCCGCGTTTCAAGGAAAATACGTAAATGCCTTTAACGTTCGTAACATCTTTGGTCAAGACAAACTCCGCGGAGTATTCTGATGATCCAGAATGCTGGGATGATGGATTTAAATGACAGCTAAGATTTTTGATCAATTCCGGAAAATGATTGGGACACTCGATTTTGGTCATATAGGCCTCCATTCTCTAAGCAAGATAATAATAAAGACATTCAATTTTGTTTTGAAAGTTACCCACCTGTGCCAGAATACTGTTCAAAGTAATGGTCAACCAAATCAAAAGTATCTGATGTATAATGTTTTGTGTTCTCATTTTAACGAACAAGAAGTTATGACTACATCAAAATAGTAAAAGTTGTCCAAATTATATTCTTTAGTCAAATATGTAAAAATAATGAAATTTTGATCGATTTTTAATAACTTTATAATAAATGCAAACGGTATTCAGAAGGTATAATTGATTATTTTTCATATTAGCCATTACCTTATCTTGTGATTTATGTAATAATAAACAACAACAAATATTTTTTAGCTTAGCATACTCCTGATGATTAATTTGTATCTCATAACAAATTGATATATGTACATGTTGAATTTCAAGTTTAAATAAAACTTAAGTTACTGAAAAGGGTACTTTTTGCCATTTCATATTTATTTCAAAACTCTTTTTTGATATTCAAGAGGCATTTCAATGCCAGGCTGTAACTTTACCGTGGACTTTAATTCGCGCTCCAACAATACTTTGGTTTACATAAAATTCGCTGAAACTGCGAAATGTTCCAAAAGGCACGAATGATGGGAAATCCTGCTCGTCCAAATAGAGTTTTTCCAGAGTATAATTGAAGTTCTATAGTAGGATGTTATTTATTAATTTATTTATTTAAATATTTAAAAGTATACAGACCGCTTTAAGGGGACACTTCAAGTTCGATAATTTTTTTAGGCTTTTGGCATATATGTTAAACATTCTATTTTTATGTACGGTATCCATGAAACGGCAGGCATCCAATCGAACATCGTATAGTTTCATCGATTGACCGTTTTGTTTAAAAAAATCCAATGCAGTGCGAACGGTCAATTTAATAATATTATGCCTTAGCCTCACTTGGCAATTTGTATAGCTGCGATTGTTCATTTGAAGGACCTGACAACCGAACTTCTCGACTCTGTCCATGTCGAAAATTTTGACGTTGACATCATCGTAGAATATACGAAAGTTGCGCTGCGCTGTGCTAACGCACTTAAAAATTAATAACCAACGGATCCAAAACCAAGTTCTCATGTTAAACGCTTATATTGCAATGCTACAGTTTGCTGTTTAATGATGAATGTTTCAACAGGATGAGCAAGTTAATTCAGTGGATGGTTTTAGCTTTATTTTAATACCCTTGCAAAGGGTATTATAATTTAAGTCAAAAGTTTGCAACGTTGTGAAAGGCATATTTCCGATCCTATAAAGTAAATATATTTTTGATCAATCCATGACCGTCTGTTTTTACGCAAACTAGTTCGTTGGATTTACAACTCTTTGGATGAAACTTTGCAAAACCTAGTCTTTCTATTCGGATCAAAATAAATAATATTTAATTTTTGTAACTGCTGCAAGGGTATATAGACTTCGGCTTGACAAAGTTTACTTCTGGTTTTTTCGTTTGTTAAATAATAAATAAGTTTATAATATGCAATGTTGCTTACAATCAGAAAGATTTGGTTAGATTTAAACCAAACCATTATCTATTTATAAGCATTTTCTATAGATACACAGAATTGAATATATGTCGTAAAATAGATTTTGCAATGCTAAAGTTCAATTTATGATAATCATGATTGTTTCAACTGGATGAACAAGTTACTAAGGTAAAGTGCCTTATTATTTTCTGGTTAAATTTGTGTTTCAATAAGCGTTCACCGTACCATACGAGCCACCATTAATATACATATAATAAGCTCCTTGTCAAAATAAATAATTTAAATGTGTTACCTAGATTTAATGAATATTTTCCATATTAGTCTTTTTTTTTTTTTGAGGTAAAAATTATGTTTTATGGTATCGAAAGCTATTAAAGTCAATTACTATTTACTCATTAGAAGGTCCGAAAAAGACCCACGTGTAACTCTTTTACATTTTAAAACATTAAACAAATTTTAGGGTTTGGTTCTACTTATTAGCAACAACTTTTCCTTTCGTGACGATTCGCAATGCCAGTCGACCGTCTTTAAAATATTCGGTAATAGTTCGAAATGTACCAAAAGGAACAAACGGCGGTAGATCATTCTCATCCATATGCCAATTTCTCAATGTATAGTTGTAATTCTGTGTAAAAGTAAACATTATTGACTGTATTGTATGATAATTATCGGTTTTCACTCACCATTTTTAGGGGACAAACAAGATTAGCATTTGTGTGTTTTTTAAAGCTTTTAACGTATATTTTAAACAATCCATTTCGATGAACGGTTTTTAGGAAAAGACATGCATCCAAACGACCATCATATAACTTGATTTTCTTTTTATTGGATTTCTGCCAAAAATCCATACTAGTGTGCATTAATATATCATCCACATCAGACTTTAATGCCATCTCACCGTTTACGTAGCTCCGATTGTTAATATTAACGATGCGAAAATCAATATGCTCAAACAGGTCGCGTACCTTATATGTTATTGAAAACTCGTCCATATTTACTCGAAAACTACGCTCCTCACATTTTAGGCTAATGTGGGTGTTAAACCACAATATCCAGAACAAAGTATGCGAGGCCAATGCTTTCATTTTAATGCCTGTCGATTGCAATTAGAGTGCTGATTTAATGTTCATGGAATATGCTCATGGTACATCCGGTCAATTACGCACTCGTTGTATGATAATACACTAATTTCAACAAATTGATATTGTTGTAAAAAAAAAAACGAAAGCTAACTTCATACCGAAAATTTAATGAGTAAGTCAATTCCGATAGGAACGATTTTTGAATAATGTATGTCAGCCTTATGAGTAATGTCTAAAGAATTCATTTTCGTTTTTCGAAAATTTTTATTGGATAAATTACCAAACAAATTAAACGAGAAGAACAAGCCTTTTCATTTATTTACTTGGTCTTATCCAATGAATAAATATCATTATGTTAGTATGTGTAATTTGTATGGAAATTTTAATAATACGTTGCACACCAAACACCATGATTTACATATCTATGACTAAATAACTTTAGTTAATTATGCTAAGCTCCATAACTTAAAATTTAGTTATTTTTTCCATTCTTTTTTATTTAATTTTTGTTTGTGTGGATAACTGTTTTTTTCCATTGCTTTTTGGATTTTTATAATGCAGTTTAATATCAAAGGTTAATTCTTTATCATAACTTCGCCATGTGCTACAATTCGTATTACCAATCGCTGTTGAGTAAAATATTCGGTGAGCGTACGGAATTTGCCAACAGGTGAAAATGGTGGCAGATCGTCTTCGTCCAAAAACCAATCCACCATCTTGTAACTATAGTTCTATAAAAAAATGATTTTAAAAAGAGATACATTTTAATTTAATTTTACACACCGCTTTAAATGGACAAAGCAAAATAACATTAGCATGCTTTTTAAAACTCTTCACATAAGAGCTGAAAAGTTGATGTTTGTATATACTTGCTAGTAAGTTGCAACCATTCAAACGAACATCGTATAACTTCGTTTTTTTTTGAGTGTTTGGTTTCCAAAATTCCATTAATGCTCGAACATTTAAGTCTGCAACATTCTTTTTTAGTATCATTTCGGCGTTGACGAAGCTGCGATTTTTGGTTTGCACCAAATGACAATCCATCTTTTCGAAAATGTCATCCACCTTATACTTTACCGCGAACTCATCGAAGTAAATTCGAAAGTTGCGCTTATCACTATTGGCCAAGTTTATTAGCACGTATAGTCCCCATATGAAATACCACGTTTTCATGATCAATGCCTATACTATAATGCTACTTGATGTTTGGCAGAGTCCATCCGTTGTTTGAAGCAAAATAATAATTCTATTTAAATATTTATTTAATTTAAGATGGTTTGGTTTGATAATATTGTAATTACAATGAAATAAGCCAGGTAATTTTGTATTTGAGTTATGACTGGTGTTCAATTACTGTGTTCATTCAGGCGAAGAAAATTCAATCTTCTGAGTTAATTGACTGACAACACATGTCCTTAATTGTATTAAACATTGAAATATTCTTTGAATATTTTGATATTCCAATTTCCATATTGAAATCCATATGTTTTTTTCTTATTCTCTAAATCTGTTCATACATTTTATAGTGATTATCACAATCATCAGACCAATATCCCAATACACAGTTCATGCCCTAAATACTAAAATAATGTTTAAAGCTTCATTTTTTAATTTAAGAACAACATTTTTTAAACTGTTTTATGTCTTAACGTTTTTTGACAAGCAATCGTCCATCAAATTGGATGTGAGCAAGTAGCTTTGATTTTTGCTGAAAAGACATTTTCATACGATAAGAGCACTCTGGTAGGAGATCAGGTAGCATATCTTCGTCAACATATGCCCTAGTCAAGGTGTAGTTAAAATTCTAGAACAGAAAAAAAATTATTTTTAAGTGTTAGATTAAGCACAATTTTACCTGATTCGATTTTACATGAAGTTTTGAGTTAAAACTTATTTTTAAGTCAATTATGATGAAAAGTATGCTACAAATTTAAAACCTACAATTTGTCTGATTGATTTTGTTTTCTTTTCACTCACCGGCTTAAGTGGACACTTTGGTTTGGCATTGAGAAACTCCGCATAGTTATTGTAAAGCATTCTGATAAACTTATTCTTATAGCCATTATTGAGAATCGAGCAGAAGTTTAACTTCACGTTGTAGAGGCGCATTTCCGGACGCGGAGGTCGCAAAATGTCCATTGACGAAACAAGAGTTAGATCATTGATAAGCCGGTTTATCATCATGTGGCCCGATAAATAACTGCGATTGGACTCCTGCTCGAGGAAAGCACTTTGGGATACGAACAGGTCGTGATCGTCAACAGTGAAGATGAACCGATCCACGTGCACCACATGGGCACACAAATAGCAGTTTATCAGTGATGCCAAAACGAGAAGGCATAGCTTGTGGAAAGACATTCGGAAGACGGTTGACTTGGCCACTGGATTACTGACTGGCTACGAACCAACTACTAATGGGGGATTCCATTGTGCTCGTAATTATGAGCTGACGGAGCAAGACCTAATGGCTTTTTAAATGGTGTCGTCTGGTCTAAATTGCCGCAATCTCTCAATATGTCAACAATACGTATTCATATACACATAAATTATTTTTTTCCATGTGTTTTTTTTTTCCTTCGTTGTTTTTAGGTCTTTGAGTCGCTTTCAGAAATGCAAAAAAAAAAGTTTTTATACATGCATACAAAAGTAAAATGAAAATGTTTCACGTATGGAAAGATTGAGCTGAGAAGGCGGCTAAGTACATAAAAAGAGTAAAAAAGAAGAAATCAGAAAACGGGAAAAGGGGAAAAGAAAGCGAAACCTTATTTTATCGACCATAATGTTACCCAGTGTCAAATGAGAAATTAAACTTTTTAGATTATATTTTGTATAATATTGCCAGGTTATTAGGATTTAAGAAGTGATAAAAGCTAACCGAGCTGGAGAACCTTAAGTAATAAACTAATTCTGTTATATCCACCAACACAAAATTGTTAAGTATTGGAAAATTGCAAATCAGATTTTTTTATTGTAATTATAAAATAATTATATAAAATATCAAAGTTTATTATTTTAAACATTTCTAAAGATAAGTTATGTGGTAGGTCTTGCTAGAAGAGCTTCAACATTTATTGTGGTTCAGAAAAAATGTATAACCAGATCTTCGCATCTCGAGTATACCTTTTCACCGTGTTCGAGCTCAAAACGCGACCTCAAGGATGTCAACAGAAATGTTAATAACACCAGCGTTGCCGCCCACGAGCTGCAGCTGGTGGGACCAGGACCCAAGGATGGGATTGCCGACAAGGATGCAGATGGGCTGGATTGCCTGGCAGCCAGCAAAGCGAAGCAAAAACAGTGGCCGTAAAACAGAAAGGCAAAGCAAAGCGCAGCGGAGTGGAGTAAGCAAAGTAAAGACGAACAAGGCAACACAGGCGGCCCAGTCGAGTGTAGTTCAAACATCACACCTACCGTCTGGGATCTGGAGAGTCTCCTCGACTCGGCTGCGGATGGTGCTGTGGTCCATATTATGTAAACATTTGCCGGGCTTCAATCTTTATTTTTCCTGCCTCCCACCTGTGCATCACAGGTCTGGTTTCCATGGTTCCTTTGCAAAATGCGTATGGGTGATTGCTTTCTGCCGGCTTTGGGGATTCCTGGCTCAGGGCTCCGAATCGATATAGAGTGGAAGTTTTGGCATGACACAACAGAAAGATGAACAATTCTTTTAACTAACGAACACATTGTTAGCAAACCAAGTTTAATAATTTGTAAAATCAAAGAAAGAGTTACGTTCGTTCATAACATTTTAAGAAGGAACTAACAAAAGTTCAATTTTCCTGGGTACTTAAGATATTTATGTTAAATCATTAAAATTGTTACTTTAGTCCTGAAATTAAGTTTTTAAAATTTTTTCGTATTGTCATTTAGCTTGTAATTTTCTAAAACAACATTATTATTAGATTCTTAACTATCATGTTATTTGATTACCAGTTTATCCGTTTCAATTCACTTTAAATGACAAATCACTAGCTTCAGGACTCAACATGCGTGCTGAGTTGCATGATTTCCACGACCTGTTATTTTTCTGATGAAGAAAACAATCTAATTTTCCCATTTTCATATGCCAATTTCCCTAAGTGACCAATTTGTCCAAGTGCAATTAACACAACCCCTACTCATCCGTACCCATGAGGCCAGGGAAAATACTTCTATTGGCCAACGTGTACTTGGCAACAAACTAAAAAGATTCTTGCGTTGCATTTTAAATATCAAGGTGTATATATTATGCAAATTTGTGCAATTTTTAGTCATGCCTCCATATATATGATAGGACGAGCAGCAAACTACAGCTCAGCTGAACTACAGCGCCAGGCCTTAATTAGTCTTTGTGAGCGTGTGAGGCTCATTTCACATGCAAATTGCAGTCGATTGGTTTCGCATTACATAATTAATAATTCAACGAGAATGCTTGTCAATCACACGCACGAATACGCCAAACACAAGGAACCCACACAAGAGACGAGCTGAAGGAAATCCAAGTAGAAATCCTGCGGTTTCTGCCATTTTGGTCCGCTAGGGATATTATTAGTATTGTTAAATGTGGGTGTGAATATTGGCATGTTACAATGACGAATGTGTAATAATAGCGATCTGAGCTGGTAATGAAACTGTATACCATTAGGTAATAGTTTTTAAAATGAATAGAATTTCTTTGTTTAAAACTTACTTTTAGCTTAACAAGGCTTTATATTTAAAAACAAATCGTATATTAACAGCATTCTAGGTCTGACTTTATTGTCCACACACTGTAAGGCTCCAAAAATATATATGTAAATATAAATATAACCACCACGCCTAGATGTGCTAAATTTGTTATCGACATGTGAGTGCATAATAGCCTAATATGATCGGTCTGCTTACAAAATGGCCACTCGCCTTGGTGTCTATCCAATATCTGCGTCATTGCCGATGGTTGGGCCTATTTGTGCAATCAATAAATTTTACAGTCGAATGCACAGGTGCTGGCATCAACAATTTACGCATCTATTGGACGCCTGCATTGGCAACCAAATGGGAGTGGCAACCAAGAAGAAGAAATTCCGTTTTTCGGAACGAAATTGATGAACATTTTCCGATCATTTTCCGCCCATTAAACTCTTTTCCGTTTAAAAGACAAAAAGCTTTTGAAAGTTTAAAATGTATTTTTGTTAATTGGAATGTAATGAATTTTGGTTGATATTAATATTTACAAGCTAACTACAGTTGTATTACAGATGTTGATGAAACTGCTTTGCCGTGGCATATTCGCTGGCTCACTCCGTTTACAAAAATCCCCCGTGTCTGCAAACACTCGTTAAAAATCACTTAAAATTCCATCATCATAAATTTGTCAAAAAATTCAGTCACTTGCTCTGAGCGAAGCTTTAACGTGTCGACATTGATGCTGTCTTTTGTCTACTATCACACTCCCTTCCTCTTTTGGGATTAGTTTTCCGACCACCACAATGGTCTTCATTTCCCATGCACAAATGGCTCCTCTGATTCTGCGAAAATCATTGTATAATATGGTCTGGCAAGGTCGTAGGAAAGTTAAGTTTTTAAAGTAATTTAAGACTTTATTTTTAAGTTTTGAACTCGGCAAAAGAGCAAATGGAAAAATATCGGGTGCGCAACATTTGAAACCTTAGTAATGTCTTAGACAACTCAATAACTCGGGACTCGCCACATCCCCGTGAATAAGTTTACGAATGAAAATAGTGCTAAGCATCGTTTACAGTTGGATATAGAAGGAAAATAAATTAAAGGATGTACCCTAGTGTATGATGGTAATATTAAGTTTGCACTCCAGGTAAAGCTTCGCACTGCAAATAGTAAAAGGTTTTTTTTGCACACACTATCTGTTTTATGTACATCATATTGGGAACTCCAAACTGGTCCAGGATTGGACGGACATAGGGTTCATCGAATTCCTTCGACCACCTTTTGATAATCCGGTGCTTATTGCCCTTATCTTGTGGTATTTGCACTGCAGTTTGGCAGACGTTCGAAATGCACCAACAGTTGGGGTCATATTTAATTTAAAATTGGTTAGCTGAGTAACGGTTATCTTATAATGGAGGGACTGCTTGTTTTTCTCTGTGTAGAAAAATAAATATGTACCTATGTCAAAAATAGAATTTAAAATAAAAAGATTTTACTACCTTCATATTTCTTTAAAAACCATATCAGATTTTAAGGTTAATCTTTATTGTATCTTAATTCTGACATTTTGACCTCTGTGTATTCAGTTTTTGAAAAACTATGTACACGGGACTGTCGCTGCCAAAGCTGAAAAACTTCTTCAAGACAAATGAGCTTTCCTTTAAGACCGTTCGCCGTCTAAGTTTTCTTATGACAACCTTTAGTTTATTACTTTTGGTTTATGTTTTCGTCAGTTGGCCGAATGTTTTATTTTAGCGGCCGCCGCAACAGCAGGGGGCAACTTCCACCTAGTACCGTCTCAGCCACTCCGTAAAGACCCCAAAGTTAACAGCTTTTTGTGGCAAGGTCTTTTTGGCTATGGCTCCATGGTGACTTCAATTTTTGGCAACAAAACGCAGCTAAAAGTTGCTGCAACAGCGAAAAAAGGGTGGGATAGAAAAGAAAAACTCGCCCAAGGCAAAAAAGCAATAACAAAATATTATTATCAGAATCATTCATCATGTGGCTGCAGGCAATAAATTTTGGGCTTGCTCCCAAATGCAACAACTACAACAACAACAACAATCATAATGCCAGCCCAGAAGAAGAACTACAATTATTGTAGCAGTCGGTAGGTACACAGGCTTTTGGCTAACTGTTAATAAATCGCAGGGCCAGATATCAGCGAACAGTTAGCACAGTTAGCTGTGGGCCAAGCACCAGCTGCTGATGTGGCGCCCCGCCCCCCATTTCCACCCCCTTTTCCAGTCCCCCTTTTAACCGACCCCCCCCATCTGCCAACCGACTCTGCAGACGCATAAAAATTTCGGGGGCTTTACCCCCGTAACGAATTTTAACTTTAAGCGAGGCGTGGCCAGGGCTATAAAGCATTAACATAAAACTCCCAAAATACAAAAGACGGGAGGGAAATAAAGAAAACGAAATGAAAATAGTTACTGCTCAGAATTTCCACTGCTTTAGTAGCAGGAGGCAGTCAGCTGCTCAGCCAAGCTATAAATTTGCGCATTACTTAAGCGGTTCCATCTATTCCGTATTTAAACTTTTTGTCTTTGTATAGCGAAGATAAGACAACTCAGAATAAAGCTTTGGCTATGATTATCCCATGGAAATATATATATTTTTTTTTCTATTAGACTTTGTAGGTGAGTGTTTAAAATTGCTCTTTACAAGCTCTTAAAATGGTGAAATGTATTAATTTTAATAATAAAATTGTT